AGCAGAGAGATGGCAAAATATGTGGAACGCACAAGTCCACAATAAACTGCATGAGATCAAACCTACGATAGAAAATTGGACACACAAGAAATTTTATAACAGGAGATCTGAAGTTGTTATTACTCGTTTGAGAATTGGACATACTCGGTTGACTCATCAATACCTTTTGAAGGGTGATGAGCAGCCAGTATGCCAGTATTGCAACTGTCCTCTTACTGTGAAACACATACTGCTTGATTGCTCTGTTTTTGAGACCAGGCGTAGACAGCATTTTGGAAATGCAAGTTTTAAACAGATTCTGGGTCAGAGGCCCAATCTTTATAATATACTAGACTTTTTAAAAGTCACTAATTTGTGTAAAGAAATGTAATTATTTATTTATATATATATATATCTATTTATTTATCTTTTAGCTTTTTGTTCGTTCTTGTTTGTTATTAATATGTATATATTTGTTTCTTGTTGCTGTTGTTTATTTATACATTTATTTTTGTCATATGTTTGTTATTTGTGAAGTTTATAATTATCTACCATTTGTTATGGCGCAGCTTAGTTTACATGGCTCTTGTGCCAAAAAACCAATATTAACCTAACCTAACCTAACCGTTTTCAGCATTTTCATGGGAGGTTGGATCTAATCCACTTTCTAGTGACCACTTCCCAATATTTCTAAAATATCAAGGCAGAGAAAGCTGTGAAACAGCCCGTCCACCATGCTGGAAACTGGAAACAGCAGATTGGCCTGCATTTTCATTTTGGCTAACATCACTGATGAAATGGTCAATACTGCTGATATCAATGATGCAGTTGAAGTTGTCACTTGCAGTATTATTCAGGCAGCTGATAAAACAATGGGAAAAACATCAACAAGATATCCAAAACATCCAAAACCATGGTGGGATCAGAATTGCGAGGCAGCATTTAAAGCACAAAAGAAAGCATGGGGAATTTTTAGAAGATACCCCACTACTTACAATTTGATTGTTTTTCAAAAAGCTAAGGCAAATGCTAGAAGAATTAGAAGGCAAAGCCAAAGGGATTCTTGGAGGAAGTATGTTTCTAGCATAACATCTTCCACCAGCTCAAAAGCAGTCTGGGATAAAATCCATAAAATAACTGGGAAATATGCTTCTCACTCTCTGTCCATGCTAGAAAATAATGGCACAATAATCAGTGATATACAGGGTATTGCTGATACGTTGGGTGAAACATTTTTGTCTTTGTCCAGCAATATTATGTATCCAAGAAATTTTCAGGCTTACAAAGCCCAAAGTGAAAAACATTATTTAAATTTCAATTCATCATTTAATGAGGAATATAATGTTCCATTCACTAGAATTGAATTACACACGGCGATCTCTCGCTTGGGGAATAGTGCTGTAGGCCCGGATAAAATCCACTACAGCATGATTAAAAATTTGTCAAACAATTCCCTTTCTAATCTCTTGCATCTGTTTAACAGAATATGGACAGAACATACTTTTCCTGACTCCTGGAGGCTATCTATCATTATCCCCATTCCCAAGCCTGGTAAAGACCACAAGAATCCCTCTAATTACAGACCAATCTCTCTGACAAGTTGCTTGTGTAAACTCTTTGAGAGGATGGTAAACAGACGCCTGATGTTCCTCCTAGAGGAAAAGAACTATATTTCTCTACATCAGAGTGGTTTTCGTAGGAACAGAAGTACCACTGATAATTTAGTAAACCTTGAAACATCTATACGCGAAGCGTTTGTTAGGCGACAGCACTTAGTGTCTGTTTTCTTTGACATAGAGAAGGCCTATGATCGCTGTTGGCGATACGGAATACTCCGTGATCTGTACGAATTCGGGTTGCGGGGTAATTTGCCAATTTTTATAAAAAACTTCCTACAGAATCGAAGATTCCAAGTCAGGATGGGCAACACACTATCTAGGCTCTTCACACAAGAAGAAGGTGTACCTCAAGGCTGTATTTTAAGTGTGACTCTTTTCCTAATTAAAATTAACAGCATAGCTAAGTGTCTTCCTTTTAGTGTAAAACACTCTCTGTACGTGGATGATTTTCAGATCTCCTGCCAGTCTAGTAACATGAGTTTCATTGAGAGACAACTGCAAACCTCTTTAAATCGCATAGAAAATTGGTCCAAGACCAATGGTTTTACTTTTAATACAGAGAAGACCTCGTGCATCCACTTTTGCCGAAAGCGTGGTTTGCACCTGGATCCAGAAATTTTTCTAAATGGGGATAAAATCCCAATGGTGAACGAGACTAAGTATTTGGGTGATTGTTTTGACCAAAAACTGACATTCTTGCCACACTTGCGCAACCTGAAGAGTAGATGTTTAAAATCTTTTAACCTTTTAAAGGTATTATGCTGCTCATCCTGGGGAGCAGACAAAGTTTCAATGCTCAGGATTTATAGGGCCCTTGTTTGCTCTAAGCTGGACTACGGATGCATTGTTTATGGCTCTGCGCGAGAATCTACTCTTCGGATGCTGGATCCAATCCATCATCAAGCACTGCGTTTTTGCACTGGTGCATTCCGAACTTTCCCTGTCTAAAGTTTGTACGTAGATGCTTATGAGGCTCTACTGTCTCTCAGGAGAGAACAGTTGTTTTTTTTTTATTATTTAAAACAGAAATCTCATACTAAACCTTCAGTTGATTGTACAGTATCAAATACTTATCTGAAAAGACTATTTGAAGCTCGCCGAAGTAGTGTCCCTACATTTGAACTAAGAATGGAGAATGTAAGCAGCACGATTGACCTGGACACAAGTAATATCTCACAGGTTGAGGTTAATAGTATTTCACCTTGGTCAATTATACCGATTGATGTTGACCTTAGGTTAAAGCAGTTTCCTAAAGAAACCACGCCAGATTACGTCTATAGACAGCACTTTGCAGAAACTCAACATCGTAATAGGAATTTAATTCCTATATACACAGATGGATTTAAATCGGATAACTATGTTGGCTTAGCCTTCGTTTGCTAGGATAAAATTGTGGCAGAACAAATAGCACTGAATTCTTCCATCTTTTCTGCGGAGTTGCAGGCTATTTATTTAGCTTTAAAGTACATAAATCGGAAAGGTCATCGTTGCTGCGTGATTTACACTGACTCAGCTAGTGCACTTCAGGGTTTGATCTCGTATGAACCTAGTTCTCACTCCATAGTGATTAAAATTTATAAACTGTTTTGCCATCTTACCTCGAGTAATTTCTTTATAAAATTTTGTTGGGTCCCAGGCCATGTAGGTATAAAGGGAAATGAAGAAGCTGACACAGCAGCAAAATCAGCAAGTCCTTCTCAGCATACAATGCATGTTGAAGGAAGTGATTTGAAGCTAGTTGTTAAAAAACGACTAGCAGAGAGATGGCAAATTATGTGGATTGCACAAGTCCACAATAAACTACACGAGATTAAACTTACGATAGAAAATTGGACACTTAATAAACAGTATGACAGGAGATCTGAAGTTATTCTTAGTCGCTTGAGAATTGGGCATACTCGACTGACTCATCAATACCTTTTGAAGGGTGAAGAACAGCCAGTATGTGAGGATTGCAACTGCATTCTAAGCGTAAAACACATACTTTGCAATTGCATTTCTTTTGATGTAAGTCGCAGACAACATTTTGGAAATGCAAGTCTGAGAGAGATTTTGGGCCAGAGGCCAAATATTGACAAATTATTGAACTTTCTGAAAGTTAATAATATTTATAAACATATCTAATTATTTATTTAGCTTATATTTATATACATTTTTTTGACTATTTATTTATTTATTAATTTATATATGTATATATATCTTGTTATAATTTACATGTGTATTGTTATATATTTTTGTTATTGGTTTTGTNATTTATTTATTTATATTTAATATTTTACATTATATATTCATTTATTCATCTGTATATATAATTACACCATTTGCCATGGCGCAGCTTGGCCTATGTTGCCCTTGCGCCAATAAACTATAACCAACCAACCGTTAGTTGCCAGGCCTGGACTTTTAGCGTGCTCCGAAATAAATTAAGGACAGTTAGTCACCAAAACATCTCAATAACAAATGTTTAATCAAGTTTAACAAATACTATGTACAAGATTTATAAGCAAACAACAAATTTATTAAATAAAAAATCAAATCACAATCAACCCGACACACTTAAGTCTTATTCTAACTTAGAACTATTCCCCCTTGGAATTCCGACAAAACAAAATTCAACTCTTTACTTAGATACAAATTCTCTTACAACTATCAATCCTAACCGTCACCTCAATTAATACTCGGAACCTTTTCCTCTACTCAAGACTTTCCTCTTTTCAAATCATCAAACTCGAACCTTCAATCTCCTACTAAGATTTTCTATTCGACACCTTGTTCACTGCTACCAGCAGACCAACGCTATCGGTTCAGGAGCTCACCTCGCTGTCTTCACTTGAGCTACGGTACTTATAGTCTGAGGTGATGTCACAGTTCTAATTGAGACACTGCCTTCATTTACATATCTACACGTAACATTCTTGTTTTCTGTTCGTTATCTTGGTAGCTTATTTCTCAACAATACTTTGTTAACCTTTTACAGCATTTCTTTAACAATTATCGGGATGTTTAGTTGAAGGTTATACAAGTTCCTAGAAAGTCTATTGGGGTGTCCCCCCTTCAGTGCGGACTTACAATTCTGCTGCTCAGGCGTCACGTGAGTGCGAGTGCTAGCTATGGCGCTTTCGTTTCATTGTCGGTGAGTTGGTTAAACTCTTATTTTCTCTTTTGGAACGTTCTGGGGTGATGGGTGAGGAAACCTTCATCCTAACTAAACATAAGCCCCAAACACAAATATAATAAAAGTAAACTAAAAATAACGCTCGGACTTGGTTCCTTACAGGAGAAACACCTCTATCTAAACGTTCTCCTTTTTTGATTCAAAAATTGTTTGAATCGACCATTGGGAATCTTAAAAAAAATTCAAAAATTGAGGTCAGGAGATTACTTGTAGAAGTAGCCTTCCCTCAACAGTCAGCAAAGCTTCTCAAAATGAAGTCTCTAGGAGAAATAATGGTAACCATCACACTACATACAAATTCGAACTCATCACGTGGTGTGATATCTGAAACCGATCTGATGTCTGAGGATGAATCAGATATTCAGATTGGTCTCTCAGACCAAGGTGTCACTGCTGTTTGACGAATTTCGATTCGTCGAGATGGCAAGTTGATACCAACAAAACACCTTATATTGACTTTCAACAAACCAACATTGTAAAGTACTATATTATTTTTCCGACTTTTCGAACGATTCTTGAAACGACTGTGTGCCAGAAATAGCTGTTCCCTAACACGTACTTTACGCATATTTGCATTAGTGTGCCAGGCCTGGACTTTAAGCGTGCACCAAATTAAGTAATGACCAAGTTTGTCAATAACAAATCAAATATTTAATAAATATTCTAGTAATAAACTATATACAAAATTTAGTAAAAATCAAGTAACAATTTATTCAATGAAAATCAATAAGAATCAACCCGACAAAACTCAAATCAATCTATTTTCTAACTTAATTCTATTCCCCTTTGGAATTCGACAAAATCAAAGACTTAATTTATGTACAACAATTCTTATGAATTAAAGATCCTAATTGTCACCTCAATATACTAGGAACCTATTTCCTCAACTCTCAAGACTTTCTCTATTCGTCGATCCACAAATCAAATAACTTCAAAATTGCCTTGGAATTACTTGATCCTATCGGACACCTCTCTCGTTCACTGCTGCGAAGCTCACCTAGCTCGTTGCTAACTGGAGTTCACCTCGTCCGTCTTCACTTGAGGTTCAGTCTTTATACTGTGAGGTGACGTCACAATTCTGAATGCGATCACTCCCCTCATTTACATACTTATTTGCTAACAATAAACTTTTCTATTTGTCTGGCAGCCTAGTTTTCCGATAATACTCGCTAACCTTTTACATTATTCTGTTTTACAATTTTCGGGATGTTTTATTCTTTTAAGNTTTAATGAAGATATTTATCTTAATTATGAAAATATACTAGCATGTTTTTTAATTTTTGGAACCTAACCCTCCTTTTCGTATTAGTTCTTTGTTTCGTATAACACGGCAATTTTTTGGAACGTAACTACCGTGTTATATGGGGGTTACCTGTAAATAAAAATAATGCTTGGACTTGGTTTCTTACACCATTGCCATCTTCTGTTGCGGCAGGATATCTTTGTTGCCCAGTTCGCCTGTACATTCCAAATCCGCTGCGCTGCTTTAAATGTCAGCGGTTTGGACACTCCCAAACATCGTGCAGAGGAAATAAAGCATGCGCACAGTGTGGTAATGAAGACCACGAGAGTACTGAATGCACAAGTTCTCCATGCTGTGTAAACTGCAAAGTTTCCCACCCTGCCTATTCTCGAAAATGCACCTCATGGCAGAGAGAGAGAGAAATTCAGCAATTGAAGATTGTCAATAATATACCTTACCCGGAAGCACGACGCATAATCACTTTAAATGCACCAGTGAAACAGAAGACATTTGCTGCTGTTCTGAAATCCACAAAGACATGTGGAGTTCAAACAGACATCTCTGTTTTACCAAATGAATGTCTGACTTGCCATGAAAAATGTCTGCTGATACCATCTACCCAAACAGCAGAAAAGGAGAGCAAGAAGACCAAAACACCCCTGCCTAAAACAGGGATAACAACAAGAAACGTGGGTTCTAAAAAAGCCAGTAAGAACCCAATAAACAAACAGAAAGTGAAAGTAACTCTCTCTAAACCTAAAAAATCAGAGGCTCAGTCTATGAGTGAGTTCTCTGACTTCGCTGATGAAGAGAATAATAAGAAGCTGACACCACCAACATCATCTCTAAAAGAAAAACTTCCTGTGAAATTAGAGGGATAACCTTGCTAAAAATGCTGCTTCAAACACACAATGGATTATAAAATTATCTAATAGAACTGTCATGGTTTTTGCAACAACTTTTCTGACATTAAACACTTGACATCATCCACCTGATCTCTGTGCGGCACTCCAGGAAACATCTAAAATCTGAAGAAAAAATCTCTTTAAAAGGATTTGATCTCTACCGCGAGGATGATGATAATTATAACCGTGACAGAGGCAGTGTGGCTATTCTGGTTTCAAATTGCATTACATCCTTACTGGTACAAATTACCACTGCTATGCAAGCTGTGGCAGCTAGAATTTCTATTGGAGTAACTGTCACAGTTTGTTCTATATACTTGCCACCAGATGTCAGAGTGAACGAAGACGAACTGGATGCATTAGTTGAACAGCTGCCAACACCATTCTTTTTACTTGGTGATTTGAATGGCCACAATCCTATGTGGGGCAGTCCCGACATTAATCGTCGAGGCAGAGCCATTGAACGACTCATAGGTAATCAGCAAATGTATATTTAATACTGGAGAAATGACATACTTCCATGCTCCAACAAGAACATTCACTGCCATTGATCTATCCTTAGCGAGTCCAAACCTGTTTTCAGCATTTACATGGGAGGTAGGATTTAATCCACACTCTAGTGACCACTTCCCAATATTTCTAAAATATCGAGGCAGAGAAAGCTGTGAAACAGCCTGTCCACCATGCTGGAAACTTGAAACGGCAGATTGGCCTGCATTCTCCTCTTTGGCTGACATCACTGAGGAAATGGACAATACTGCTGATATCAATGATGCAGTTGAAATTGTCACTTCCAGTATTATTCAGGCAGCTGAAAAAACAATGGGGAAAACATAAACTAGACATCCAAAGCATCCAAAACTATGGTGGGATAAGAATTACGAGGCAGCATTTAAAAAACAAAAGAAAGCATGGGGGATTTTCAGAAGATACTCCACTGCTAGTAATAGGATTGTTTTTCAAAAAGCAAAGGCAAATGTCAGAACAACAAGAAGGCAAAGCCAAAGGGATTCTTGGAGGATGTATGTTTCTAACATAACATCTTCCACTAGCTCAAAAGCAGTCTGGGATGAAATCCATAAAATTATTGGGAAATATGCTTTTCATTCTCTGTCCATGCTTGAAAATAATGGCACAATAATCAGTGATATACAGGGTATTTCCGATCTATTGGGTGAGACATTTTCCGTTTTGTCCAGCAATATTATGTATTCAAGGAATTTTCAGGCTTACAAAGCCCAAAGTGAAAAACAATATTTAAACTTTCACTCTTCATCTAATGAGGAATATAATGTACCATTCACTAGAATTGAATTACATTCGGCGATCTCTCGCTCTGGGAATAGTGCTATAGGTCCGGATAAAATCCACTACAGCATGATTAAAAATCTGTCAGACAATTCTATTATAAATCTTTTGAATCTGTATAACAGAATATGGACAGGACATAGTCTGCAAGAGTCAGGAAAAGTATCTATCGTTATTTCCATTTTCAAGCCAGGTAAAGACTGCAAGAATCCCTCTAATTGCACACCAATCTTTCTGACAAGTTGCCTGTGTAAACTCTTTGAAAGAATGGTAGACAGACTCCTGATGTTCCTCCTAGAGGAAAAGAACTGCTTTTCACCACATCAAAGTGGATTTTGTAGGAACAGAAGTACCACGGACAATTTAGTAAACCTTGAAACATCTATACGTGAAGCATTTGTTTGACGACAGCACTTAGTGTCTGTATTTTTTGATATAGAAAAGGCCTATGATCACTGCTGGCAATACGGAATACTTCGTGATCTGCACCAATTTGCATTGAGGTGTAATTTGCCAGTTTTTATAAAAAACTTCTTGCAGAATCGAAGATTCCAAGTTAGGATGGGAAACTGTCTATCTAGGTCTTTTGCCCAAGAACGTGTTCCTCAAGGTTGTATTTTGACTGTGTCTATGTTCCTAATTAAAATTAATAGTTTTATACGAAAGATGGACATCGGGAATGCTCCATTGCTGCGACATTTAATCAAGAACATCAGCTTTTCTCTTATCCTTGTTAGAGATAGAACAGCTTTTCTGTATAGTTTGGCCGGCGTCGCCATTAATATATCAGATGAAAAAACTAACGCACGTAAACTGGAACTATATAGTACACACAACACAAAATACCTAAATATTACTTCCAGCACACAAACGATTTTAATTATCAAACGTTTTCGGCCGTCTTTTAGAGGCCCTCCTCAGGATGAAACATAACCAACCGTTCTATCATTGAATGATTCTAATCATCGAATAAAGCTGTGTTCCAAACTTTTAAATATTTAAACTATGTGTACGATATAAAAATCGTTACGCTTACAAGATAAAAATAATTACTCTAAACTAATGCTATACATAAATTATTATTGTAGAGTTGTGAAAAAATTAGCGAGATGTAAATGATTTGTTTTAAAATAATGATATACATCAATTATTATTTTCGAGTTGTGAAAAATTAGCGCGATGTAAAAGCTTTGTTTTCTTATATTATACTTCCGATTATTGTTGTGTTATGTGGCCATGTAAATAATATTTTCACGATTGTGGAATCGGAATATAATCGGTGTTGATGCAGTTTCCCTTCATGGATTCTATATAAATCTCAATAGCCTCCAACGAGCGTAAGTCATGTCGGTCGAAGGCCCTACGCACAAGAGTAGCCTCATCCCAACATGGGGAAACCCCAGGTTCCGTAGCATACCGGGCTAGAGCTGTACTATATTTTTGCTTCGACACATCGTATTTGTGGTCCCGTACTCTAGCCTCCAGAGATCTGTATGTGGATCCAATGTATGCCATTTGGCGATTGAAACGATAGTCATTCAAAGGTATGCGGTACACCCCCAGCACTTTTTTATCATCGGACTTGTCCTTAGCATTCCTTAGCTTTCCTAAAATTTGGGAATGGAATCTCTGGCTGTTAGGTGTAGTAGTGAACAAGAAATCTCTTAGCGCACAAAAACATGGTTCCAAACGAATGGAAGGGAACATCGATACAAAATCGAATACAGTAAGATATTCGTTCCCATTTAACTTTAAATTGTGGAGTTTGGCGAGTAGTGCGTTAGAATCAGACACAGACAAGTCGTATGAGTCAAGATGATTTTGCAACAAGTGATGTATATGTTTCTCTAATATGAAGGTGGGAGATCTAGCTTTATCGATCACCGGTCTTAATTTCTGCCCGGGTTTATGTGTTTTGGCAAAAGCGAAAAGGCGGGGGGTGTCAGGGGAGCTAATTACCGCATGTTGAAGGCCTAAGCTTGTGGCCAGGCCAGTGCGCGTGAATCTACCGACACGACTTTGCAGCTTCGTTGTGTATGAGGTGTCAGCTGGTTGACATTGAGTGTCTATTATATATTGCTGTAATGCGCTGACATATGTTGCCCTTAGCATGATGACGATTGCCTTGCTCTTATCCGTAATTTATGTATAGCGTTAGTTTAGAGTAATTATTTTTATCTTGTAAGCGTAACGATTTTTATATCGTACGCATAGTTTAAATATTTAAAAGTTTGGAACACAGCTTTATTCGATGATTAGAATCATTCAATGATAGAACGGTTGGTTATGTTTCATCCTGAGGAGGGCCTCTAAAAGACGGCCGAAAACGTTTGATAATTAAAATCGTTTGTGTGCTGGAAGTAATATTTAGGTATTTTGTGTTGTGTGTACTATATAGTTCCAGTTTACGTGCGTTAGTTTTTTCGTCTGATATATTAATGGCGACGCCGGCCAAACTATACAGAAAAGCTCTTCTATCTCTAACAAGGATAAGAGAAAAGCTGATGTTCTTGATTAAATGTCGCAGCAATGGAGCATTCCCGATGTCCATCTTTTGTATAAAACTTCCGTACGGATGTGAAGCCCTTTTGCCTAAAGTACGATTTTTGTGTTTCATAAAATTAATAGCATAGCTGACTATCTTCCTCCTAGTATGAAACACTCTGTATTTGGATGTCTTTCAGATCTCCTTCAGTCTAGTAACATGAGTTCCATTGAGAGAGAACTGCAAACCTTCCTAAATAGTATAGACAATTGATCCAAGACCAATGGTTTTTAATACGGAGAAGACCTCGTGCATCCACTTTTGCCGAAGGTGTTGTTTGCAACTGGACCCTGAAATTCACTTAAATGGGGTTAAAATCCCAATGGTCAATCAGGTAAAGTTTTTGGGAGTTTTATTTGACCATAAACTGACGTATTTATTGCACTTGTGCAATTTGAAGAGTAGATGTCTAAAATCCCTGAACGTTTTAAAGGTACTGTGCTGTTCATTTTGGGGAGCAGACAAATGTTCTATGCTCAGGATTTATAGGGCTTTTGTCTGCTCAAAGCTGGACTATGGATGCATTGTTTATGGCTCTGCTCGAGAATCTACTCTTTGGATGCTGGATCCAATCCACCATCAAGCACTGCGTTGTGCACTGGTGCTTTTCGAACTTTTCCTGTCAAAAGTTTGTATGTTGATGCTTATGAGCTTCTAATATCTCTCAGGAGAGAACAGTTGTCTTTTTTTTACTACATCAAACAGAAATCTCTGAATAGACTTTCAGCTAATAGTTCAGACACTTAGCTGGAAAGGTTATTTGCAGCTCGGACGAGTTGTGTCCCTACATTTGACAGAAGAGTGGAGAATGTAAGCAGCACAATTGACCTGGACACAAGCAACATCTCACAGGTTGAGGTTAAATGTATTCCATCCTGGGCAACTTTACCGATAAATGTTGATCTAAGCTTAAAGCGTTCCCGAAAAAAACCTCACCAGATTACGTCTACAGGCAGCACTTCACAGAAATTCAAAATCATGACAGGATTTGAATTCCTATTTACATTAATGGATCTAAATCAGATAACTTTATCAGCTCAGCCTTTGTTTGCCAGGATGAAATCATGACAGAACAAATTTCACCAAATTCTTCCATCTTTTCTGCAGGGTTGCAGGTTATTTA